GGGGTGACAGGGCCCCAGGGGCCTGGGACTCACCGCAGCTCTCGCTCTCAGCACTGCCAGGAGAATTTGCCAGCTCAGACGCCACTTTCTCCTGCTCTCCTCCCTTCCTCTTCTGTAACTCCGGTCGCTCGGCTGTCCTCCACCGAAGAGAATACGCGGGTGTCTTACAGCTCTTACCAGATGAGGCTTCCTAGACACGCAGCCTTGCGCACTATGCACGGGAGTAGGACAGAGGGAAAGAGAGAAAATGATGAGCAGGGAGCAGAACAGACGGATGGGGAGAGAAACTGAATGAGAGGAATAAAGAACAGGGAGGGAGAGAAAAAGATAGGGAGGGATTGAGGAAAAAAAGAGAGAGACAGGTCAGGATAAAGAGACGGAGAAAGAAAAAACAGTGACGGACTGCAGGATGAGAAAAAAGGCCAGGGAGCAGGACACAGGGGAATAATGGGGCAGCGAGCCGGACAGGGGGACACAGCGAGACAGGCGGCAGTATGGAGGCATACAGTTACGGGGAGGACGGAAGACAGAATGAGAGAAAAGGGGCAGGGAGCGGGGCAGAGATGGGGAAAGAAACGTTTGAGACAAAGAAAGAGGGACAGGTAAGACAACAGATAACTGGAGAAAGAAAGAGAGGAAAGGGAACAGCACAGAGGGTGACAGAGAAAAAGAGAGGGATGGCAGAAAGAGAAAAAGAAGACAAGGGAAAAGGACTGAGGAGCAGAGAGAAAAAGGTACAGGCAAAAGGACAGAGATGGAGAAAACAAAGACAGACCAGAGGCAGAACAGAGGGAAAGACAGACAAGGACAGGGAGCAGGACAAAGGGATGGAAGAGGAAAAAAAATAGTGATGGGCAGTGAATAGGACAGAGGAAGAGAGAGAAAGAGCAAGAAGAGCAAGAGACAGAGAATGACAGAAGGACGTCGAGAGAAAGACCAGGACATGTAAAAGGGGGGGTGGGAGGACACACATCAGAAGGGTAGAAAGAAAAAGAGAGGGGTGAAAATAAGGGATAGGACAGTCGTCGAGCTAAAGGAGGATTCTAGGTAAACAAGTCAGCTCGAAATACAACACATCCTTTAAAAGCTAGAGTGATTTGAACACTTAAAATCAGCATTGAGACTAATTGATACAATTTTGAGCTCATTCTTAGCATAAAAGTAAACACTCCCGCTGGTGTTGGAGAGTGTCTCGTCCCCTCCTCGCAGCACTGCTGCAGGGAGATAACCCCGCGAGGCTGCGGGACGAGGTTGTACCGTCATCAGAGCCTACGCCTACAGATCCACCGCAGCTACGGCCCGCGCCCTGCTGCTGCTGCAGGTCTTGCAGCTACGGCCCGCGCCCTGCTGCTGCTGCACGTCTTGCAGCTACGGCCCGCGCCCTGCTGCTGCTGCACGTCTTGCAGCTACGGCCCGCGCCCTGCTGCTGCTGCACGTCTTGCAGCTACGGCCCGCGCCCTGCTGCTGCTGCACGTCTTGCAGCTACGGCCCGCGCCCTGCTGCTGCTGCACGTCTTGCAGCTACGGCCCGCGCCCTGCTGCTGCTGCACGTCTTGCTGGCTTGGTCAATAAAGCTGAAAGTGAAGCGTAAAACTTTGGAGAGGGAAATGAAGAATAAAGAACAAACCTCAGTAATTCACTTCGTGCTGAAAAGGTGCGCGCGTGTTTATATACATCCAATAAAAATACTTACACTATAAAAGTATCCGGTTTTCCTTTTGCATTAACTTGCATAGCTGTGAGTTGACGCCATTAAATTCTCTATCTCCAAAATACACAGTTATGATTTGACTAGGAGGGGGGGGGGTTGTGGGTTACAGAGTTAGGAGGGACATCTGGCCAGCTGCGCCGCCCAAGAGAGATGCCACTGCACTGCCAGGGAAACGTGCCGTCGAAAGCGAGGCAGAGATAAAGTCCTTCAGAGCACTCCGCCAAAATATCGGGGAAAAAACTGTAACGTTCAGTTGCCTCTTTTTAAACATTTAGAGCAAATACCCAACTGCTTAAATACGCCTAATACATTGTATGCGACAGCTATTTGGCAGTTACAGTTTAAACAACGCAGGTCAGTTTACAAATTACACAATTTTAACTTCTTTTTGAAGTTTCATTTATGATAGAAAAATCAGTGAGGCAAGAGACCCCCCGGACGGTTTTACTTTTGGGCAGCAAAAGAGCTCTGCGGGCCGCCGCCAGTCAACACTGCGCTCTTTTTTTAACACCCCCCCAAAAAAAAAAAACCACAAAACCCCCATGTCCTTGGCACCTTTTTTTTTTTCCCTTCCTTTGGGAGCTCACCCCTGTCGCAGCATATTGTCTTGTCAGAGCATGAAGTGCGGGTGATCTGTACCCCGATGACACTTGCGTGTGACGAACACGTGTTCGGAAATCGTCCGGGTCTGTCAGACTGGTTTTGATGATCGTAACTCAATTTTATTGACTGATGCATTTGCGAGGAAAGTAATTCACTTTCAAATGTAGCATCTCCTTGGGGAAAAAAAACGTGTTAGACTCTCAAAATAATTATGATTCAGAGCTCCCAACCACGATGGAGCGGCGGAGACATTAATGAAAGCGAAGACAAACAGCAGCAACATTAAGTGAAATTTGGCTTTAATTCTGATCACGTACTTCAGACACGCTCCAAGTCTACACCTCAGTCCTGTGAATGACTAGTCCTTTTTCGGAAGGACAAACTTTTTTACGTAGAAGTCCTAGATTGAAGGCTCCACGGAACAGAACGTGGATTGAGCCACGTCAACACTCACGAAAGGAAAAAAGAAAAAGAAAATCGAATAAAAATCAAGTTTAAGCATCAGTTTCCATCACGTTTGATTCACTACCTTTCTACTGGCATCTAGGTGCTCGAAAATTAACTATATTGACACCACATATTACTAAAAATTTAGCTCTGCATATAAAAATAAAAAGCTATTTCCAACTTGCCCATGAAATTAGTATGAACAAACAGAAGAGAAACACCTGACCCTAAAGACGGGAACAGGCTGCTCTTAACTTACCGTAGATGAAAGTTCATCCTTTTACCCGAAAGGAAAACATTCGTAACTACCAAGGGACCAGTTCAGGAGCGAGGCACGCTCTGTTAACTGCAATTTTTCATCGGCTTTTCCGCGCCGGCAGCAAATTCGCCCTTCCTCTGGGTTTGATGTGGAGTATCTGTAGTGCCCTTGAACTCGCAAGTGTTTCTCCCCGCTCCCCCAGCCCCACACCTGCGATCACCTGAGCTCCACGTGGGATCAACCACGCACGTTTTCTTCACGTGACGCAGAAAAGAGGAAAACCGGGAAAAGAGGAGGCAAAAAATGAACCCGTTTGTCGCACCCAGCCAAGGGTGGAAACACAGGGGAGGACTCTGCCGGAGGGGCCGTGCGGGGCCAGGCCGCGCACCCCGGGAGCTCCGACCGGCCGGGAGAGGGCTGTGGGGACAAGGAAGGCCTCGGGAGGCATCGTGGTGGGAGTAGGGGGGTCACGACAGCTTCAGAGGGACAAAGGAGGTACGCGCGGGAAGAAGGGAGATGAAAGGGGAGCTAAAAGGCTACAGGAGCGCCGAGGAGCACGAGGAGGGTCTCGGGACAGAACGTGACAGGAGTAGAGAAGTCCTGAGGAGACCAGACAGACCAGAGAAGGTGTCGGGACACAATGTAAACTCAGGGGAATACACCTGCCCTCCAGAGAGCCCCGGGGCCTTGGCCAGGCTTTGCTGGGACCCGCAAGGGGCTTTGCTGGGACCCGCAAGGGGCTCTGCTGCCCTCCGGAGCGCCCCGTGGTGTGGCCGGGGAGACCTGAGCAGGGTATGTGCGTTCTCAGTGGGCAAGAGGCTGAACAGAGGCATCCTAGATGGTGTGGAGGACTAAAGGAGTCCCCTGGGGCGTGAAGAAAGCCTCAGGAGGGGTTCCAAGGGAACAAGAGAGGTCCAAGGGGGGCTATGGAGTTAGGGGAAGCCTGCGGGGCACGAGGGAGGCCTCAGGAGGGGTCCTGAAGGAGCTAGTGGGGTCCAAAGGGGGAAGAGAACGTTCTGGGATGCGATCAGAGACGCAGGAGGGGTCCCGAAGAGGCAACCCGCGGGGCCCCCCGCGGTCCCTGGAGGCTGAGGAAGGGACGCGCCGAGGCGCCCTCGCCCAAACCGCAGCTCCCAGCCCGCCGCGGAGCGTGGCATGGCTGACTGGCACCACAGCTCCCAGCATGCACCGCAAACCAACATGTCTGCCCTGGGGCCCTGGCAGAGAACTACACCTCCCAGCATGCACACCGGCGCCCGGAGACCGCAGCTCCCG